TTGCAGCTCTGTCTTTACTGTGCAAATTTTTCTGATATCGACGTAGTTCATTACGAATTCCCACTTTCAGGCTTGTTACCTGCGATGACAGCAAAAGTAATCCCACGACCGCCGTACTGGCCATCCGCAAACATGGTTACAGGCTTAGCCGGAGGCGCACTTACGACTGCATTTGGTGTCGTTGCTGCACTCTTCAATCGCTGTAATAACGGTGATAATTTGATTTAAAAAGTGTGACCTCCAAGATGGTGTGCTCCGGTGGTGAAGACCAATAATAGTCACAGAGTGCAAGAGGCTCTGGAAAAGATAATTGTGTTGTAGCTGTTCGTGTGGCTACGTTGTAATGGCACTGAGAACTCTATCACTATCTGAAGTTCCGTTGCAAAATTGTAAAAATATCTGCAATATTCATCATAAGAAAGAAATGAAAGTAAGTGACTGCTCGATCAACTTCTAAAGAAGTTGCGCACTCACATCGAACAGGCGATGGGTACCAACTGGAAGTACGTAGCTCGGGAACGGAAGATCTGGCATAGCTGAGTCTGGTGTATAGGAATATTCCAGTAAAAGCATTACGAGGAACTTTTCGCATACTTGTGAATTTATCAATAGTGCTACTCTTCGTCAATCTTTTTTGGTCTGTGCTTACTGCAAACTTGACGTAAACATGTAACAGATTCTCTCTTCTCAGTTACAAGTCTGTTTTAATTATAAACTAATTTACTTGAAAAATTTAAAAGAATGATCAAAAGCTTTCGTCTCATCCATTGAAGTGCAAAGGACTTTCCACCTATTTCCATCGCTCCACTGTTGTTGGTGAAGCAGAAATTTCGGCCTAGTCTGTAGAAACTCTTGTAGAATTCTATGTGAAGGATAATCCAGGTATTTCACTTGTTGAAAAGTATCTAAGGCGTGATTACAGTGAGTAACTTTTTTTAATGGTCACTGAGTTGATTTATTAGTTTAGCTAAGTTTGATTATTAGTAGTCTGTTAATGATCTTTTTGTATATGTTCAGAAGAGGAGTTGAGGAACCGGAGGTTGCGATAAAAGGGTATAATTAGAAAATCAGTATTACTGAGTACGGATGGCATCGACTCAGCTTCGGCTGACATTTGGAAGCATCGGAAGCTTCATGAAAAAGTTTCAGCAAATACTAATAAGTTTAAAAGTTTTTTTTGAGGCGGAGAGGG